CTTTGCTATTTCCGAGGTTGTTTTCCATATTGGATCATTATCGCTACTTCTCCCAACTACTCATTGCTTTCCGAATAATGGCATCAGATCTCATTGCCGTCTTCGTACTCATCGTCATTTCTTGCTCTGGATTTTTTGTCGCTTTCTTAAACTTTGGAGATAACAAATCACCCAAAGTGGTGGCTTATGGTTTGTTCCAAATGCTGATGGGATTTACGCCAACCGCATGGGCAATGTGGGATGAATACAACTTTTTAGGGAAAACAATCCTAACTGTCTTCCTATTCATCTGTCATTTTGTCGTCGTCACTATCTTGATCACGGTTCTGACCAATTCCTTCATGAGAATCGTCCAGAACGCAAATCAAGAGCATCAGTTCCTGTTCGCTGTCAATACTATCTCGATGGTCAAGTCGGATGCTTTATTCTCCTATGTGGCGCCGACAAACGTCATTGCCTGGCTAGTGACACCATTCCGATACATGATGCCATTCCGGGAATTCATTCGGCTCAACCGGACAATTATAAAGATAACCCACCTACCCATACTGTTCACAATTTGCCTTTATGAGAAGACAATCCTCAGTTCTCGAGTCGTTCAGCCGATGGATCTAATTGAACCTACCTCGCAGAATGAAACTCCAGTTCAGCCCAATCGATTCCGTGGTTTCAGCACTAGAGCATCGGTTTTTAGGCGAGAGCCCTCTGTGGCAACATTCCAGAAGGATCGAGCGTTGGAGGAAGTGTTTCGACGCCCATACAGTGACGATCAAATCCGAGCGCCACCGAGCACTGTGCATGAACGCCAGACTAATAACGTCATCAAAGACTGGATGCAGGAGATTGGCTCTGGACCAGCTAATGGACCCGATGATAGGGATTCACTGGTCGTGGACCATCGTGGGGTGCATCTGCAACGACCCAAATTTCCATTCCGGGCTAGATTGGCCAACCAACCTCGGAATGTCACGGAAACGACACGATCAGTTGCTTCCAATCCCGAGGACCGAACAAGCTGCACTGCAAGCCCAGTCATCCGGCCTCGGCGCACGAGACCCTCTGTCTCACCCACTCAGAAACGACAACTCTCTCATCATACAGACATGGAGGGAGATGATGAACTTACCAGCAACGACGGTGACTCAAATGATGACAAGCACTCAGCCCAAGGGTCCACTGGTAAGACATCTGACTTTGTTGGAGGCACAGAGAAGCCCTCGCCGAAATTCTACAGCTCTCGTCCATCTACGGCAAGAATTATCTCGCGTCGCAACAGCCCTACACGTCGTGTCAGACATACACGGAATACCTCTGGGGTCACTATGCTGTACAATCCTGTTGGATCTCCAAATGAAGAGACGGAAGGCCGGACCACACCACCACGGTCAGATACCGATTCATCTGATGAAGACTCACCCCCTGTCGTCTCTACCTCAGTAGACCAGGGTACCGTAAAGCGTCACATTCTAGACGTGTCTCGTTCTCGGAATCCCCCGATTGGACTAAATCATATGTCCGTTCCCGAGGTGGACAGTGTCTACCTATCTGATCGGCCCACAGGGACACGATCTCGCCCATCCCTTCTCTATGATCTGGGATCTGACCTAGGCGACAACAAGGCCGTGGCGGGTGGCTTCGCCGGTGCCCTTCCGTCTAGTTTCCAGACCCAACTAGGGTTTGTCCCAGCCGCTCTTCGCCGTGAAGCCCCAACCCAAACCCAAGACATGCTCAGCAAGTTAGTTCTGGCTCGCATGAACAACATTGAAGAAGGATTCCGCGAGGTGATCAAAGAATTCAAAGATCTCCGCCGCAGCGAGTCTAGTCGCAGCCCAAGCCGACCCGATGAGTCCCGGGGGGCTACACGTGAGAAAAAGAAACGTGACAAGAAAGACTCCAAGAAGCAAAGCATCAATTCACCCGGAAGCCGGGCTGGTAGTGGTGGAAGCCCATCTAAAGGAGATGGACCCGGTGGTGATACCATGCCGTCTGCATAACTGTTCATTGCATTCTACCTTTCGGTGGCAACACCGTGTAAAAAGATCCCTGTAACTTGAATGGGTGGGTTTTTTTTACTTTCGGGTGGTTATTTTTTTTCCCTTGCTTCCTGAATATCTGGGTTTGGCCTGGCGCGTTGGCTTTTGTTTTGCGGATACCAGATACCATCTCATTCGGGGTACGTAACGGCTTCAAATTTCAATGTGCATTAGCACACACATGAATGAGCACACGGCATCTTCATATTTCAAACTTCCGATGCAATTCACTGCCCAAAAGCAGCTCGAGCTAGTGGTGCCGTAAGATAGTTTTGTCTAATTTAGGTACGCCGTCTTCGCCATCCTAAGGGGATCAATTGTTAAGAATGGCCTTTCAGTGCCCATATACTACCTTTCTATTGAATGATAGAAGATATAAAACAGAGTATAACCAAAGCGACGTGGAAAAATCTTCACGGATGGATGCCAAGCAGAGTAATAATTGTTCAATATGATTTCACTGCTATATTTCCAGGTATGGTTCATGCTCTTAGAGAGAATTGGACCTTAAGCGCTTCCTCTGGGCACTTGATATCCCTTTCGGGGAGGTCGGGCAGTGTGTCCATATATTTCGCCCTGATCTGTTTGATCAGAGTCGCCCCCCCGGTACGCCGCTACCTCTTCTTTCGTGATAATTGCGCCTGGCTGGGGGGCTAGGAAGCGGAACATCAGCAGTGTACCACCGATGACCCCGAAAACGCTTAGTAGGGCAATGCTGCGAGATCTTATTTTCTTTAGTGTCAATACAGACGGACATCTGCTCACGGAACAAATACTAACTTCATCGGTTTCCGACTTTGATGAACGGCTTCTGTCATTGTAGTCATGATTGGATTGTATATGGGGTTATTTTTTTACCATTCACGTTGCTTCAAAGGATTCAGTTGCTTAGAAGTAAAATAAATTTCCACACTGGATATCTATGGAGAAAAAAAGAATGACATTGACATGAGCACATTGTGATTCACTGGAGGTATCCGCCACTTCTCGCGTGTCTTCCCTGTGTCATCTTAAACGGCTCTCTCTTCTTTTTCAATTATACGAGATAGACCTAGTTCATATTCTATACCACCTACTATATATTATAGATATACTTATATAGATAATTAAATAAAGTGCGGCTGAAGACAACCCCCACTGGACCTCGGGAAGTATCGCAGTGCATACCTAGGTACATCCATAGATACATACATATGTACCTACCTAGGTCCAAGGGCTAGTACCAAAGCTGACTGTTCCCGAGGTCGGTATGATCCCCAATACTTCAAATAATTATCGGAAACATTCTACATATGTAGTATGTGCCTCATTTCTCGTAGTATCTCAGGGTGTGCTTGACATGGGTCAATTAACCAATAACACAAGGCCACATCCCCACCACTGAAACCTCTATATATAACCTTTGTAATTGGTTCAACCTGCTTCACCTCCACGATTACAAGTACTAATAATGCCCGGCATAGCCTTGGAACATATGTAGCTAATCAGTATATAGCGCCAGACAAGTCCTCGAGCGGTCTCATTCATATTATTTCAAAGCATTCTACATCTTACAATAGAAATGAAAGCATCTCTACCGATAACAGGTCTCACAATGTTCCGATCGGCCTCTACGCCCGCCGATGAAGTCCGCACCTACATCACCCAACTCCTTGGCAACGAATATGACGTCCTCGTCGACGTCGCTAAGAAACATGCGAGTAAATAAGAGATTGGCCGGTTCTCACAGCTCACGCCAGCCTCTAGAGAGACTACCTAGCGTATCTTTGGGGACAATGTCGGTTTGTGTATGTATCTATAGTGCGGTTTGGGAAGATTTATCCGAGATCCCGGATAGAAGACTAGGTAGTATCGATAATTCTCAGCGGTTGTACGTGACATCATATTTCTTTCTTCATTTTTCCCGCTGAAAGTGAATTGGGCAGTTTGAGCTGACCCTGTTGTCTATTTGCAGATGCCGCCACTACCTCTACGTTGGTCCTAGCCTCCATCCTAATATTATTCTTTCTATAAGAATTAGGATTGTAGGCTATGAAAAGTAACATCATCTCATGTTTTCTCTTGGTCCCCGGATAGCTATATAATACGTAGGGATTTCTATAGGGAGTTACTAATTTATTTCTCTGACCTCGGGATAATAGATCGGATCACATGGGTTGCGTTCTCAGTCTGGTGGTTCTTGTTTGCTGTTTATTGGGGGGTTTATGCCATTAAACACCCATTAAGTGCACTAAGTGGGGTCAGAATCATACCATCTTTCACTAGAGGATTTACTGCTAACAAAGTGTAAGAGTGATATCGAAAAGGAACATTTAGGTCTCTTTGAGTACACAATGTTTTGCGCCTTAGTATCTAAAAAATATCTAAGAAACTCATCTGAAAATACATCTAAAATGAGTATGTATGTACCAAAAATAATATGTACTAACTATGTCCATATATTGTACAGTGGCGTTTCATGAGTATTTGCACCCCAGTACTACCAAAATTTTCAGGCCATCTTCCTTTCTGCTTGTTAATACTTTATTGAACGCGTTAAGTAATAAGTAGTAAGTAGAAGGCTTACATACACGCTTATATATATGTATAGTAGAAGCTCCAGCATGCAGGCTACAATAGAAGAGAGTACATGAAAAGCATTAGGAAGTACTGGGGTGCAAATACTCATGAAATATGACTATACATGGTACTGTACCTACTATCAGGCTCTAGGCACCAGAGCCTCATTCTCCATTTCCCCACTCCCCATTTTCTTCTTCTACTCTCCTGTGAACTATTTCTGTACTTTCCCCGTTGCCCTTGGCTTACTTAACTATTACTCTTTAGGTAGTCATCTGCATCTTTCTCTTCTTCTCTTCATGGTGACCTCTTGCAATATTCCCTGTATTAACTTGAATTTTATTCTCTAGTCCACTGCATCCTCATCTCATCTTCCCTTCATGGTTACCTCTTGAAGCTCTATCCAAAATGGAGCTAAATCCTCGCCCTCCAGTCTGCATACCTCGTGGAGATATTGAAAATATTCTACTCTTACCGCAAGATCAACAACAGGAACCGAATAGTCATACTGCGAGCGAATCTGACACTATTTCAAGCCCTACAAACATCCCCGATACCTCCACAGCGCTCCCAGGGAGTCCCTTAGCTGCTCGTGAATCCTTTTGCAACCTCACAAAAATGCTATTTCTACTTCTTCTTCATGGCGCAGATACTCTGATGTTCATTGACCCTTCTCCGGAGACAATCCGATCCAAGTTACCTCTTTCCGTACGGACAGTCCCCCATCGAATCCACAGTGAGAAATTATTGGGTACAGGCTCTGCCTATTTCAAACAACTCTTCAGTCCACAAATGCAGACCCGGACTCGAAAGCGACGCCGCTTGACTGGCAAGCTTCCAGATGGTATTCAATACGTCTTGGACCTTACTCCCCCAACGATGGACGAAGATGCGGTCATATTCCTAACCGAGCTTTCATGCCCTATGAGTATTAGGATGTGGGCCTCAAAGCAGGATATGTGGAGCCTGCCGTGGTCGTGCATTGGGGGACAAGATGACTTGGAATCCTTCGAGCAGCCTACACAATTCCCTACAACATCACCTGAGCCTCAAGGTGATATCTATGTCGATCATCTTGGAGATTTAAGAACTGAGCAGATTGAAGCCTCATTCGAATCACAGGACCAATTTCCGGCATCACAGCCTGAAATAGTGGAGCAGAAAGGCTTGCCGGTGGAATACTCGGCCTCACGTCACCGCGAAGGCATTGAGCATATTCTCCACGTTTTGGAAGGACTAAACCCTAGAATAGACACGCCTTGCAAGCTATGGACCTTTTTCGCGCTCGCCAAAATATTTGACGTGGCTGCGGTGCCGGCCATCTGCGACCACATCATCTCGTGGTTCTACCAGCTCAACAATATTCGGTTCATTGAACTTCATCCCGATGTCACTTATCGAGTGGCATGCGGTATCGGATCTTCCTGCCTCTGTCGAGATGCTTTTGTTGCAATGGTTGGGGACGAAGCCCTGCTATACTTGATTCGGACCACACATTTCAAACCCGTTGGATCCATGAAAATCTTGGCGCAGAGCCGAGTTTCTGATGTTCTAGACGACACGGAGGTGCAGCGGATCGAATATGCCAGTAAGAGTTTTGGCGACTACGTCATTCGCTGCTTCTTACATTTGGCTGGGAGTAAAATGCCTTGGTTGGCACAGATTGTCGAGTTCCAGAAGCTTACCCGCCATCTTCAACTTTATCCTGCAGATCAAGAAACTATATGTCAACTAGTCATGACGCTGAAGGAATTTATTCGTGACCACATCTATGGGGCTTTGGTCAAGGCAAGAGACACAAACCGCTCATTCCATGTGGCTCCAAGCTTGGTGAGATCCGAAAACCCATACTACCGATGGGGTATAGACAAGGGATTTGTACTTCAGCGATTGATTGGGAAAAACTTCTGGAGTGCGCTGGTGTCGCTAGATCTCTGTCAAGATGAAGCACCTCGTATGGATTCTTATTCTTCGATAGCGGAAATCGGCAATGGCTTGTTGGCCTTTGGTGGTGAAACTGCAGCAAGGATTCGCCATGTCTCATCTGGTGAAGTTCGTCAGATGATCCATGTGTTCAACCAAGTGGTTAGAACTAGAGCTCAGGGTCGGCAGGAGGAGGAGGCTCTGGCTGCAAGACATGCAGGTGGACATGCTGTGATGGAGATGACCATTAATGTCCGGAAGTCGCAATCTGACAACGAGGTTGGCAGCACCTCTAACAACGGCCCTTTCCTTAATCCCATTCCTGCTCCCACCCCTAGCCCATATTTTCCGCCTGTATCTTCAATGCCACCAAAGACAGACATTTCAACAGAAATATTCCACGAAAAAACATTCAAGGATGAGCTTCACTCTTTCCTGAGGCAATACGCACTAGAGATGTTGCAGCAACCTGACCCACCCACCATGCGACACGAACTCACAGATACCCTCACCTGCCTCACATACAATGAATTCCAATACCTACCTTTATGGGCGGGCGGCAATGACGATGGAACGGGCGGTGTTTTCACCGACTTGATCATCCCCGCCATGGACATCGGTGGTTTCTCGGGTCCTGGGCCCGCCGTGCACACTGGTAGTGTCGCCTCAACCAATGGTTCATTCAGCGAGGTTGAGCCTAGTGATACACAGAGTACCATTTATGGCGCATCTCACAACGCGACTTACAGCCACGCTTCGGATATCATGTCGGTAGACTCTACGGACTATTCTCAGTCGGGGCTCAAGCATGAGGATTATGAGAGCCACGATGAAGCGCAGCCGGAAACTTACATGGAGATGACCGAGTACGATGATGAAATATCATCCCTGGGGTTTGGCCCAACTACCGACGATGAGGAATACGTAACACAGAGTAATGGCACCATTATGATGGATATGGGATCACCTGAGCCTTCATTTGCTGGTATCTCCGAGAATATTCACATGGACAAGGTGGAGGACGAAGGTAATGATACTGAGTTTGAATTTGTTGCTGTCCACGACTACTTTTAGAATATCCCATTCTTTTTTTTCCTTCTTTCTTGTTTTCGACTGAGATTGGAGAAGCAGAATGTTCGCATGAAAAAAGACATCGCTCAAAATGGAATCCAAGATACTTCTCTATTGACGTACTGTCGAGATATACTATGTGTAGGTACCTGCATAGTAAGTTTATCTACTCCGCACAGGTTTTGCCTATCCTCCCATGATCTCCGTCCTTTCAGTCTCCAGTTGGTCCTCCAATGAGTCGACGCGAGCTGAGCCCTCTAATCCGGCTCTGTATGACAATTTCCTCAAAGTCTCCAGCGCTACAACAGTGTTAGGATGATCTTTCCCAAATATTCTTTCTCGGCGCGCGTATACTGTCTCCGTCATCTCTTTCACGAAATCCAACTTGTTCTGGGATAAATAGATTTTGCTGAGATTGGCCATGGCGTAGAGGTTTGTGGATTGTCGTTGCTAAGGATCTCTTCTGTTAGACTGAAAGCCCGGTATGTTAGCGCTCCAGCCTCGGGCAGTAATTGTAGCATATGATACGTCACTGAGAGACTGGCTATAGCGTGTAGCATGTACATATGGCGATCCATACCAGCCTTTGCCATCCCTCTTATTTCTTTTTCTCCGAGGTCCCTAGCCTCTTCTAGGTAGCCTTGAGGTCTGATTATAGAGCCCAGGTTACACATAGATATAAGAGTCTCCGGATTTGTCTCACCGTGAACAATCTCGCTGGCAATCACTATTTTCTTCTTGGGCTCCTCGGCATCTGACCGTCGATCTTGACGTCGATATGTAGATGCTACGTCTTTCATAGAGTCGAGCGTTAACCAGTGATTCGTACCAAAGGACACTTGGCAAGCAGTGAGAACCTCTCGCCCAAGTTTTTCGGCGGGCTCTAGCTTCCCTTGCTCTCGACAAGTTGAAGCGAGCCTTATTTTCCAAAGTAATAGCGAGCTATGCGTTGGCGATAACTCCCTCATCGAGGTCCACTCACTAGCGTCCAATCAATTCTGCCTCTTCGTAGCGACCAAGAATTGAATATGGGGTAACTATGTCATCCATAGCATACAACGTCGATAGATGCCTCGGACCAAACATCAATTTCTTCTTCTCAAAATACTTTAGATCAAGATTCGGGCCTGGCTCTTGTATGACCACGCGATGTTGCTCATACTCGTCACTGCAGAGGAATTGTTCTCACCAGCCTTCGTATCTTTGATCGGTGGCACTTTCTCTGAGAGTTCCACGGCCTCCTCTAATTGGTCACGCTTCCAATAAGTTGACGCGAGTTTGTTCCTGCCTTTCACAGTCGATGGATGCTCTGGCCCCAGTGTCCTCTCGTTGCTCTGCATTTCCCGGAGTTTCTTGGCTATCTGGGCTTCTGCTACTGGCTGATTCTCCGCCTCAGGAACTTCGAGCCGGTCCACTGGTTTTGAATGCTCACTCAAAGTTTTGTCTCCCTCCATCACTGACGATCTCTGATTTGTTGATATAGACTTCAATGATGTTCTCGCTTCATTGTCAATTACCACAACTTGCTGGGACTCGGTTGACTCTCCATCGCGGGTTGCGTGTTTATTTTGTTCTGACTCAGGACAGGGGAGAACAGAAACAGACAGCTGCTGAAGATGTCGAGCTAACTGCTGCTGAAAGCAAATCGGATTTGAAACGGGAGGTTTTGTGCACAGGGGACATTGCTGTGCAGAAGATGTATAGCGCTCGGACAGTCTCGCCATCGCCTGCTGTTGATCTTCGGGAAATACTCTGGCATGAGAATCCCTTAGATGATCCAAGAAGAAAGCTTCGGATTTGGAAGTACATGAGCATAAACCACAAATCCACCCCCGCCGATGGAATTGTCGTTCGTGCTCACTCCATTCTGTGTAGCTGTCGTAGAGGTTGGCTTTGACGCAGTCTCCGAATGTTGTAGGGTCGCAGAAGAAGCCGGGCGCCTGGACACCTTTCTGGCGCGACTGACTGAACAAAACCAGTGTACACCCGCTACACACCTTGTGTCACGCAGAAGCACTGGCAGGACACCGAACGTCATATCCAAGTTAGATTTACCGGCCCAGGCTCTCCAACAGCATCTAATTATGAAGATATCTCTGACCTGCGCAACAATCATAGGGCTCTCATCATCACAAGATTGGCTGGGGTTTATCACAAGTGAGAAAGGCCGATAGCACCGTATCAGGTCTATAGATCATCATCAAAGGCTGCTGGGCTTTAAAACTGTCGACAACATATCTCTGGCTCAAGACCTGCGTGATAAATTATTCCGGCAAGAGCAAAGATCTCGACTAGGGCTAAAGTTAGCTTCTTCGGTGATGCAGCTGCATACCACGAATTGGTTGACGGATTTCTGGAGCAAATACGACATATTTTTCCTGCGTTCTTTGGATACTACCATTGCCTTCGACGGCCCCTTAATTCGACGCACCTTTGAAACTCGGAACATAGACTTGACTACTATATCCCAAAGCGTCCCAAGACCCTGGTTAAATGCGTCAATCCCATGCCTATTTTCACTGGGTATAGTTCTCTTGGAGTTTTGGTACCGAGAAGTATTTGAGAACTTGAAAAATGAAGTTGAAGAAAGGATGGTATGTACCATCCATGGTCGCCTACAAGGCTTCTGGGCCTGACTTACAATCTAGCCACCTGAATTCTCTGACCCTTTGACAGCACGACACTTGGCCGATGACATGGACTCTGGCCCGAACTATAAGAAGAGTGTCTTACGGTGTATATTCGGCCTAGATGCGATATACACATCACTGGCAGAAGAGAAATTTCAAAATGAGGTGGAAGAGAAGATGCTCTCTCCCTTAGAAGAGGACCTGAAATTTTACTCCCACATAACGTCAATAGAGGATTGTGTATAGCATACATATGTACTCAAATTATGAACAGAATTTTGAAACCCCGTTTCAAAGAACGAGCTTGAGGTATGTACAAAAGGATGGTTTTAAATGAAGTTGAGCAATTTTCATGATAGATATAAAACAACTGTAAACGGGTCAGACCGGCGCCGGGGAGGGCCCGCCCGCCGGGCCTTGAGGTGGGCTGACTCAGCGGATTTCACGAACTGCCCCAGCGCAAGGTACTCCAGATTTCAGGATCTTTCAAATTATTTAGCTCCTATAAATAAGTATCACAAGCGCTTGAGAACTGCAGGATTATCTATCACTTTAACTTACTCCTCTTTTCTGCTACAATTTCTCCAGGGTTCTATATTCGAGGTCACGACTACTGACATCATATCACTATGGCTTCATCCTCCAAGACGAGCTCTTTGCTCTAGTAAGTCTTGCTGTCTTGACATTTGAGCGATCAAAGAAGCGATTCATAGACTAACAATATAATCAAATTCAGCTCTTGCATCGCCTACCGCACTACTATTTTGGCCGAACACTCCTCGCCGGGAAGTTCATCAAGCGCCGCCTCGTCACTAGCCTCCATCATCCTCCCAAAGATCACACACGACAAGCCACAAAAGCTCACCTTCACCCATGAACGGCTTTTTGTCCATTACATTTCCGATTCGCCAACGGGCAATCAATCCGACGATGGCAACATTGCAGAGCCCAACTCGCATGCTCCCCTAAGCTTCGTGGTAGTTGCATCGGCAGAGCAAGGCCGCCGCATCCCATTCGCATACCTATTAGAAATGAAGCGCAAGTTTTTAGCCGCCTACGAACCATCTACAACCGAGTTTGCCGCCCTGCCTGCCTACGGCTGCGCGGCCTTCAACAATGAGCTGCGCTCTCTCCTACAGAGCTACAACACCGCCCCGCCAGCAGACTCGCTCGCCTCAGCTCGGCGCGAAATTGACAGCGTGCGTGATATAATGACCGAGAATATCGAGCGGGTCTTGGAGCGCGGCGAGCGCATCGATCTGCTGGTTGACAAGACGGATCGGCTTGGCGGGAGTGCGCATGATTTCCGGATTCGTAGCCGGGGACTGCGGAGGCGGATGTGGTGGAAGAATACCAAGTTGATGATTATGATGGTGATCGTCATTATCTTCTTGCTATATTTGTTCATTGGTATGGGGTGTGGACTACCTGCCTGGGGGAAGTGCGTCGGACACTAACGCAGTTTCGGGTAGCCAGTCAAACATTTCAGCGAGCGTGCTTTTTTTTTGTTCAAATATTTAGTTTCTGGGGTTGCTTTGGTTTCTGACTTTCTTATGAAGCACGATCCGATGGTTGGTTGTCTGCTTTTCTACTTTGTTCAATTTACTCCGTTTTTTACTCCTTGGACTTTGTTCCTAGTCAGGTTTGTATATTAAATCTATCTAATTTGTGTTAGCTAGGTATCGAAGTTTGCATACATTTTTTAGGACTTGAGTGATGGAGGTGAGTGGGTTTGATGTGCCTCACGTATTCTCTTATCAAGGCTTTAGCGATTGTAAATGAAGAATTTATTGTTTGTTAGTTAGTATGCAAGTGACAGCTGATTCAATAAGCCGTAGACATTTCATGAGTTGGAGTCATGAGTTGGAGTTTTACTGATTCTACTAAGCATGAGGACAAATTACTTCGGATCCAACCCTTGATATATGAACTCAAATAGCCAGAATTTCCGTCAAAGTTCTCCTGCAAAAAAAAAGAAACTTGATCTTTAGTATGCATATAGCCAGACAGCAAAGCTACCAGGAGTGTAAACGTAGTATTTGCATTTTTGGTTGATCTCCTTAGCAGCCAGCCATTGTAACCTGCCGCTCTGGAGGATATATCTAGCTAGCCCAGCCAAAGATACATGCATAAGACAAATGTTCGAGGAAATATTGATGCAAACAAAAGTAAATTGAGTGATTGATATAAAATATTCATTATCCCCCACATCGACCCTAGAGAACCGATTCCTACAGGCTACAGCCTATATCTATATACTCAAACTTGAAGATATGTCCCTCACCATCAAACCCACTTCGTCCTTGCCCGAAAGCATCAGAGTGAGTCTGCAGGTGAGACAGAAATCTACCAGCTTCCCAGTAGCTCTGTAAATTGTATACGCCAAGTGTTTACCTCTTCAACCATAGGTTCCGTCCTAAAAGGCACGGGATTGACGAGGAGATATATAAGGCGATACTCCTGGTTTCCAATAAGGAGGAATTGGAGGTCGAAGCACGTGAGATCGCTACAAAACTGCGCAAGCGGAGGAAGAAAAAAAAAAAAAAAAAAAAAAAAAAAAAAACTAAGACCAGACGAGCTGCAAACTGGACACGGAACGAAATGGCCTGAAGATTGAGCTGTAGCATTCAAAAGAAGTTCCTATGTGCGCGGGAGACGTAAGGAAGAAGAACGCCGGCTGCGCAAAGTGAATTGCCCTGCGAGCACCGACTCCGGATAGAAGAAAAAGGAAATTTTGTTCATTTTTCATTCATCGCAATGCACCTGGTTTCAGAAACTTTACCCTGATCATAGCAGGCTGGAAACTCCGTTTCTCGGAGTCCTTCAATTGAACCCGCGCCGTCAACCGCCATTGCAACATGAACCTATACCCCACACGTAAGAAATCCCTTAAGTCGACTTGCTCTTGACAGCCTCACGACCCTTGGCGATACGCTCAATGATCTGCTCACGGTCCTTATCGAGGTGCAGCTTGGTGATGACGACCTTGGAGGGGTGGAGAGGAATGGGAACGCTCTGGCCGTTGCTCTTGTCACGAACGATCTAAAACTGCAGTAAGCATCTACCACAACAACTGTTATAGATTCAAATCGTACCTTCTCGACGAAGATGGAGAACTTGAGACGGTAGACGTTGGTGATCTTTCCCTCACGGCCCTTCTGCGAACCTCTGGTAACAACTGCACACAACAGTCAGTTTCAAGATCTCGAGATTATTCCCAGATTGCATCAAGAATGAAACTCACCGACTTCGTCGTCCTTGCGGATGGGAATGGAGCGGATCTGTCACGGAATGCTGGTTAGAATCGTCGTGCATTTGTGTCATGCTGGTGCCTGTATTTTCCATAGTTTCCAATCGCGAAAACTCGACTTGAACAGGCCCAGATTTGATATGGAGGTTCATATGGTACATACTCCGTACTTCTCCTTGAGTTCCTTGGAGACGGGGGCGCTGAGGATGACACGGCGCTCGCTGGAGGGGGCCTGGAAGTGTGCCTTGCGAGACTTGCTCCGCGAAGAGGCGATACCTGGAGGAGACACCATCAGTATTGAAAGTTGAAGATTGGCGAAGATTCGTATCGATAGGGGTTTCGGGCAGTTGTGAATCAAATCGGCGCAAGGCGATATGCGAGAAAGTACGCACCGTGGGTTCGGACAGCCATCTTAAAGGTCGTGGGGTGTGAAGTGAACGGGTGTCGTTGGCGTTGGTCGAAGAGAGGATCTTTTCTGGTGTTGCCGAATATTCCAAGTTGCGGGAGCCGGATTGTGTGCTTACTAATTTCCCGCTAAGCCGTCTCAGGGCTTGCAACTAGACACCTGATAAATAGGGCAAATACTACTCTTGATATTATTGGTTGATAGTGGGATCCACCTCCAACGCGCTTCTCAATGCGTCTCGACAACATCTGCGCCAGGCCAGCCCGTTGGCCGCGTTTTTTTTTTTTTTGTTCTCAGGGCTTTGAGAAGATTCTTCCTTGATGTTTCAATTTTAGTCTATTTATTATACCCAGTCTGTTCCTTTTCGGCCACGATTCAATCCTTCCCATGCGCAACGGATTACGATCAAGCTCTTTGTTCGCTTGGTGCTACAACATCCTCAGCGATGAGATCCTAGCTCTTAGACAGCCTCGCACAATTTGAAATGTCCAACGGAGGCATGGACGGATTCGATTGGCTCCAGAGTTTTCTTCCAGCCGATGGCCAACCCGACCACGACCCCAATTTCAACAATGAGGCTTATGAGACACATCCGGCATTTCACGATGCCGAGGAGGTGGCCAAAGCGGCCGTTATGCACCAGCGGGTACAGAAGCCATATTCATTTATGAGGCCAACCAATGCTGGGACTAATCATGTCTTGGATCCGTCTCAGGTGTACTCAGAGGCTTCGGGTAGACAGTATAGAGGAAACCAACACCAGCAAAGCAGCAATATGCAATTCAACAATCTTCATTCTGGCCCCTCTGTATGCACAGCAGATTGTTCTCACAATACAGCTCAGCGGCCAAATCCCTATATTCCATCCCAACAACATTTAAGTGCTCAGGCAGTTCAGGATGGATATCGTCACGGTCAAGCTCATATGGATCCCATTGACCCCCCACAGAGGCCTTCCAACTCTAAATCAATCTCCTCCGCAGCCGATCAAAGCACTTACAGGGTCCATGAAAATATAAGATTGACAATCCCTGCACATAAAACGAATCAATCCATGGCACAGGTACTGCCCACATCACAAAGCCCGTATCAAAGGTACTCGGCAACCCCAAATCAGCATTCCCAGATGTTCACCCAACCACATATGGCACAAGGGATGATGGCACAAGTTCAAAGAACACAAATGCCGGTTGCATTGCAAAGTCCTTCTCATAGCCACTTTACAATTCCATCCAATACTGCTCAACGACCAACTCATTCCTCTCCAGCGCAAGGAACCCGGCCGACACCCCCGGTTCAAAGGACACATACGCCGGTGGCAAGGCCCCAAGCATCGCAGAAACCATATCGAAGCTATTCCATGATTTCACCCCAAAATGTTCAAAAGTCATTTCACTCGCATGCACCGCCAAGCTCTCACTCCTCAGCAGACTCTACATTTTATACTCCCTTGGTCTCACCGAAGGGATTCAAAACTTCTACAGCACGCAGCACACTTGGACCCCACCAGTTGACCATCCTAGCCACAAGCACTCGGGAGGGTTCCAATCCACAAACGCAGAATCCGGCTACAAATTCCACCAGATCAAACCCAATACCGCCTGGGCCTTCATCTCAAAATCAAGATCATATCCAGTCAGCCGTGTCAACAGCACCTCATAGGGTCCACAGCCCTTCAATATCCGAGCCTGTCTCAACCCACACTCCTTCTGTCTCTCTTCTCTCTCCTGCTCTTGCCTCTGCCCCTCCGGCACCCACTGCACAGAAAACTATTGTCCCACATCATTTAGACAAGGGCTCGGCACAGGGGAAAGGAGGGACTCAGGGTTCAGCAGCACCTACTTCATCTTACCAGGCACCAAATCAGACAAGCCAGCAGCCTCCGATCTCCCAACCAAATGAGCAGAGAAACCCAGCGATATCCTCAGCCTTTGTATCATCCACTCCCCCTATGGCCTCTCACTCGGGGCCCTCGAATACCTTAGGACCTCGACGAGGCCCCTTCGCTGCCTCGGCCGCGGCACAAATGCTTACTGGGGGAAATACGCAGTCACGGGTTTCTCCACTGCCGGAACCATTGACCCACCACAAAAAGCAGTTGATTCCATCCCAAGAGAGCTCGAGGGGTTTTATGCCACCCGAAAAGATGCGACGGCTGGACAATATTAAAAGCCAAGCAATTAATCTCCGGCACGAGCCATCAGGAGGTAACTCGGTACCAGGAGCCCGCGTTTCTATGGAATCTGCTCGACCTCGAAGCTCTGATAAAATTCTTAAGAATCGGGACGATTTGGTCCAGCCGATAAGGCAGAGCGCTGCACTGCGCAAACACTCTTATGATCCTACCACAATCGCACGGGACGTACTGATTGCTGCGGGAAGACACCCGACGGAAAAGCCTCTAAACCATCATCTTGAAGCACTACGCCGTAATTTTACCAGAATCGACTGCTTTGCAGATCTGGCAACATTTCGTTGGGACCTGATTGATATTGAGCAGCCTAAACGTCAAGTTGATCACACACCTCCAGTTCCTGCGTCCCAACTACCTCCTCAACCACCTCAGGCAGCTCGGCAATTACTTCCATGTGACCCTGTTAAACCAAACCACGTGACTGCACGTGACATCGATCCGAGGCTGTCGCGTGACACACCGCCAAATCGCCAAGTCGCAATACCAACAAGGATCGACGCGCGTGCCCCTCCTAACGGCTTGAGCGCTTGGGGTACTTTGCCTTTCAAACCCCCGACCTATCATTCTCAACAAATTTATTCTTCCGACTTGCCTTCTGGACTTCCTAGGCTCGACCCTGTGCCTGCATCGCCAAATTTCTCGTCCCACAAATCCGCCGTGCCATTTCCAGCCCCCTCACCCTCGCAACCCCAATCTCAACCCCAATCTCAACCCCAATCTCAACCCCAATCTCAACCCCAATCTCAACCCCGACAGCAACAATACTCGATTACGAAGAGTGCGGCTCCGCCCGAACCTTCACCTGCCACAAAACAAGCGGTCACTGAATCTATAACAAAGCTTAAACCTCCAGCGCAGACAGCCAAAAGCCAATCAGACTCTGGTCGGACCGTCAAATCCCCAGAGGCAAGGCGTCTTCCTCAGCCACGGGTTGTCATCCCACCATTACCCCCGAAGATGCCATCGAAGAAAAGACCAGGGCGCCCTCCCAAGAGTGGAGTGAACAATATTGAAGTTGCAATTCCTCGCGAACAACCTGTGCATTATCAAATCTTCCCATGCAAGTGGGAGGGGTGTGCCGCAGAACTTCACAACATTGACTCGGTCCGAGCCCACCTGATCAAAGTTCACATCCCGCACTCTCTTGTTTGCAAATGGAAAGACTGTGGCAACAAGACACCAATGGCTGCAGCAGATATGTTTACGCATATATCGAGCGAGCACGTTTCTAAAATGGCTTGGGAACTTGGGGATGGACCAACTGTGCCAGTAACTGGTGAGAATCATGACTAGCTTACGCTTGATGCTCCTTTAAGGGGCTGATTTACACACGAAGTCTGTTTTTGATCTGAAGAAAGTATCTAATCGGATGAATGTTTTAGCGGAAAACAAACCGACTTACCCTTCCGTTCTGGGAGACCGAAGCGCTCGCAAAGGAACCATGGTCTTGCCAGTGGATGAACACCAGGTCAAGGCGTTCAGCAAGGCACATGGAAAATTGACAGAGAAGACAAAGGCCCAAGCCCTGCTCGAAGCGGGACGACACTGGAAGCAGCAGATTGGACCTGAAATGGACTGGAGCGACCGCCGTCTGTCAACACCAGCTCGGCAGACCAGGGTCCACTGTGGGGAAATCGCATTTGTTGGGGAGCATTGATGCGTCGAATCGACTTTTTTGATACCCTGTTGATACCCTCGTTTTTTGTTATCCCTTTTCATAATGGGATTTCGTTCATTGCACGGGGACTGGCTTGCATAGGGACTGGTGTTGAGAACATATCATAATACGCCATCTTGCTAAAGCGGGGCTCACGATATTTTGCACCTGGATGGCATCCCCAGAGCGTTGCTTTATCTATGATATCTATACGGTGAATTCCCCAGGAACCACACAATTTTCAAATTACTCGAAGAGCACTGATGAATAAAGCCACGAAATTGGCAATGGCGGCCTTTCTCTCCGACTAATTAAACTGTAGTGCAGGTGTGTGCAATTGGCTTGTGCTTGACCCGCGATCCGCTGTCGAAAGTAAAATCAAATGGAGTAGGCACTGGTATCTTGGTTCTCTGTTGGATTCTTGTGTTCCTTCTCTTCCACAGGTCGCAAATTGGATTTAATTCCCTTTCCCTGAAACTGACACCCTGTCTGTGGACAACACTGGCACAGTCCCCTCAGCCTTGATCTGGTTTGCTGTTTCAGCAGACTCTGGTTCCTCCTCGCTGGAATTGACATCGAGGAAGTGGTATAGGACAATCATCATCATGGCGCAGGAGCCAAGGAAGATGGCGAGGCGGTAGAGGTCGTTGTCGGAGATCATTGTGAAGGGAAGCCACAAAGAATTGATTTGAATGGTCACAGACAAATGTCAAGAGACAAAATGACAAGTCGAGAGACGAATGTGTTTAGGGATAAGGCGATATAGTCGGAGAAGACACGTCAACCAGTAGGTTCTGGGTGATGGCACAAAGTGTAGTTGTGTGTAATATCTTAAAATAAAAAGTAGGATTAAGAAGGGTTTTTTCCCCCTTTCTCTCCAATTGAGAGAATTGAAAAGGAAAAGAGATATAGTCAAGAAGAGAGAGCTCGGGAAAGAGGTGTGACGAAGTTGATAAGTGGAGAGAGGTGTGTGAGCTGGAGAAAGAGAGCTATCAGGTAATGTATTGTAATTAATGTAAGTAAGATGTACCAAGTTACATTGTAATGTATTCTGTACATAATAAACCAATTGTATCGTGACCTTTTTTGCCTTGTAATTCTTGAACCCTTTACTTTTGGTGTACTTTTGTCTCTTCCCCCCCCCCCCCCCCTGGGGTTTCTTTACCTTCTTACTACTCCGTTACTCCATTACTCCATTACTCTCCAGGGAATATCCTTGTTGACATTTTCTCTAGGAAGATATACATTCTTCCATAAAGAAAAAAAAAAAATTACATCCCCCCTAGTTCAACAGGTCCCCCCCTAAGTGCCTGTATACAAATTACTTTTTTTCCCCCTGGAATAATTGGAACATTGGAACATTTGAACATTCTCAATCCTCCATCTTCTCTTCCCCTCCATTCATCCCTTTCAGTTCTACTTTCTCTCTTTAGCCATTTCCTATATGCGTCTTTCTTCACTATGACTGAATTTCAGACTACTGCTGGGTCTAAACCAGGTCCCGCCTTACTTGCCTGTCTCCAGTGCCGTCACAAACACCTCAAATGCGATGGCAGGACTCCTGTCTGCAGTCGCTGTGAACAGTCCCGATCCCCTTGTGAATATACTAAGTCTCGGAGAGGGTACAAGGGCCCGTCGAAAAAGCGTCGCGCTCACTCGCCAGAATATTTGCCCATGGATCCTCACGCGGTAGGCATGCTCGATGTCCCCGTGGATTGGAGCTTGCAGGCTGGTTTCACTTATTCGTCAGCCGTACCACTGCCATCATCCGCATCGACTAGTCCCGGACTGCAAGGTTTCTCGACGCCAATTGTTCCATCTGCTCGCCCAATGAGCGGCCCGTTGACCCCAGATTCTTCCTCTGCTATCGGCGGAGATGGCTACCTGCTCGATATCTACTATAACTATTTCCACGCCGCTCACCCAATCCTGCCACCCCACCGGCTGATATATCGAACCTTGCTCCCCGCATACTTGGAGCAGGTGATGAAGTTCATCGGTGCCCACTTCACCCCGGCTGCCTCAAGTGACACGTACCGGCCTACAGTTGTTGCAATGGTCCTAGAACAGAATTTATCGGTGGAAAAGGTGCAAGCGCTGCTTCTGCTGGCGATTGTCCTTCATTCAGACAATGAGCGTGGTGAGGCCGGAGTTTGTCTAGCCGCTGCAGTAGATTCAGCCTTTGAGCTTGGCATGCATCAAGGGACGTTTGCAATCCTTATGAGCAATGGCGATCCAATTCGCGCAGAGTCTCTGCGGCGCACCTGGTGGGAGCTTTTCGTAATCGAGGGACTCATGACCGCCCTTGGTGTGCAGCGCGAGTACCGATGCAATGCAGTGCCGCTCGAGGTCCCACTTCCATGTGAGGAGCGGATTTATCAGGATGCCTTACCACCGCCACAACCCCCAACCATTGCACAATTCGACGGGCGTGTGTTTGCAGACGAAGAGCGTGACTTCTCCTCATACTGCTATCGTATTGAAGCCATACGCATTCTCGGTCGTGTGGTAGCAATGCAGGATATGACCGAAGGACAGCAGGATCAGGTGGAAGCCCTTGATGCGCGAATTGGTAGTTGGGGCCACCACTTGCCAGAATCCAAGGAAGAGCTCTTGCGTCCCGACGGGAGTGTGGATGAGATCATGTTCCAGGCGACCATGATGCTGAACGGCGCAGCCATTTACCTTAACTTCCCGCGGTCCGATCTTCTTTCATCTCCGGCCGTTGCCGCAGAAGTCATCTGTGGCCACCATGGTCCGATCAGTGTACCTGCATTCTCCCACAACGAGCATGCTATGAAGGCTGCCAAAGCCGCCCGAGAGCTGTCTCGCCTGGCTGCCTTCCGTCTGCCCGTTATCAAGCATACCCCATTTTTCATCTGTGCGCTCACTCTGAGCTCCATTGTCCAACTGGCCACCTGCTCGGTCAAAGCCGGTCAAATGCCAGACCCTAGCCGCGACCGTTTGGCGTTGACGATCGGCGTCTTCAAGTCGTTGGCTCGCACCTGGGCCATTTCCCAGTCAATCATGCGGCAGATCAAAGCAGTTGCACGGGATGTGATGGACCTGGGACTGCGTCCGACGATGGACTCGCTGGATCTAACTACGGTGTTAGATAACAGTCAGTTCTGGGTGGATCAGAGCCCAAGCTGAGGGAAGAGGATATGACTGCCTCTCCTGGCCTTTCCAATATTTCACACGCCGTCTCCGATATTCGTGACATTTCGACAATCGTTGAATCAAGTCAATAGTGTGCTCATCAGTCTTTGCTTAAAGGGCTATAGTGCTCACTGCCTCCACCAACCCCCCTTGTAGGGCTCTGGTCCCCTTTGGGGCTTGTTACAGACCCAAGTCCGGAGTATAATAGTATAAATCTGTATCCGATTCCTGGCCGGACTTTTGACCGGGGTATCCGGAGGGAAATAAGACAGTTTTCCATTCTCGGCTTTGTATATATCAGACTATTTGATTTGTCTCTTCGCCTTTATACACTCTTCAAGGTAGTCCTAGACTGAGACTATAGGGCTTTATCTCTGTTCCTATCTGAATTTACAAAATTCACGAATAGAATATGTAGATCATTACCCTTACCTGACTTAGTGCACGGCTCGCGTTCATAATTATTTTATGAAGCTGGGGTTTGGCAATGTAAGCCGCCACTTCTGTATAAAAAAGACTCCGAGCATGACTCTGATTTCCGATTTGCACTCTTTTCTCTTTACTCCGTACTATCATTTCCTATTTTATCAATATGGATCCTTACAGCACTAAGCAAGCTGTCCTCCAGCTTGGTGTTATCGACCTAGAGATGGACAAGGTGAGCAGAACTGATAGCCCTGGAGCCCTATACCCTCATTAATAAAATGCGTAGATCTTTCAGAAGAATCCCCCTCTCGATATATCCTCAATCCCAGCAGAAGTTTTGTCTCAAGGCTCAATGGTGAATGAAGAGGCTATTTGTGAAATGTACTCGAGACACGGAACTCAGGAGACACTGATGACTATCCCAATGCGAGATGGTCATGAAAGCGAGATGCGCATGATCAAGCAACCCAATGCAATGCCTAATACTCCGCTCGTGATTTTGATTTATGGTGGTGGGTTCTTTAGTGGCACGAATATCCAACTACTTCCCTGGGCGACAGCAACGGCCGCACTCTACGGGGCAACAGTCATTCTCCCTTCTTACAGACTGGCACCACAACATAAATTCCCCATTTCCCACAACGATATTTGGGATAGCGTAAAATGGATTGCTGCCAATGCCTCTTCACTAGGCGCTGATCTCTCAAAGGGCTTCGTCATTGGCGGCAGTTCAGCCGGAGGAAACCTGGCAATCGTCACTGCTCACCGCGCCATGAGAGAGAAGCTCTCCCCTTCACTGACAGGTGTGGTGGCCATTGTCCCGCCCTGCATGGATGAGAAACATGTACCAGAAAAATACAAGCATCTATGGGTGTCACGCGAGCAGAACGCCAACTCACCAGTCTGTAATGCCAAGGATATAGAAACCTGGATGAGCTGGTGGGAGCCAGACTTCCTGTCTGTTGATTTTTCGCCATTGAATTCGGATGTATCGCTTGCTGGCTTGCCACCGACTTATGTCCAGGTCGATGGGATGGACACGCTGCGTGATGATGGATTGATATACGAGAAACTCCTTCGCGACCATGGCGTCGCTACTCGCCTGGATGTTTATCCCGGTATGCCTCATACTCATTGGTGTTGGCCCGAGCACGCGTTATCTGTCAAGTCTCATATTGATACTCTGTCTGGTATTGGGTGGCTGCTTGACCGGGAGCTTGAGAGAGACGAGATCGAGCACCTCTGGAATACGGCGCCTTAGATGGGGTCCTAGGTCTTGTACTGGAAATATTTTGGCTACATATTGCAGCAAATAACCAATGACGGGCTTTAGAAAGAGTCTATCGGAAACGGAGGTACTTATTCGAAGAAGCAAGCCACTATCGACAATAAATAGGCTTTGAGAGATTTGAAGAGAGAATATATTTATGCAGATGAACAACGACAACATTACTCATTGAAATATGAAACGTACCAGGCAGACTATTGGTACTCGCGGAGATACTTCAACCGCTTAATAGCAAGAGAAAAGTCCTCGTCGGTAGTAACCGTAGCTGCACGTCTACCACCAGGAATGGCAGCCATCATTTCCTTGGCCAGCTTCAACTCCGAATTTAGAACTTCTTTGAGATTGAAGTGCTCATGCTCAATCGTACGTGCTTGTAGCGTACCTAAATTAGAGACAGATTGGTTAGCAACAGTGGGTACATAGTAGAACGCATAGTCTTACGATCGACTTTGGCAAGGTGCTTATTAGCCTGCACGATTGCCCCCCAGAGAGCACATACTTCTGCCATTTTCCCAAAGGTATCGTTGCGAATCCAGCCTAGGAGTCCGTTAAGGAGGTCGGCCTCTGATATCTGTTAGTCTCGCGATAGGCTAGAGGATTGAAGCGAAATAGAAAGACATGCCTACCTTTGGTCTCCCTAGATAGCCTGTAGAGATTGGGGATTTCGGCTGACATGCGTTCATAATTCATTTTGCCGAGATGATAACTAAGTCAAAGGCACTATGGAATAGGTTGTTCTCAAAGGAAATGGATAAGAGAAGAGAAGCGTGTTATATAGACCAAAAGAGCATGAAAATGTCAGCGGACAAACGATTGGCTTTCAAATTCAGATAGATGGTCATTGATTATTTGGATATCTGGTCCAGTCAATCTGTTCAGAGAGAATATGCCTTGGAATTCGAACAAAGCGCCCAAGTCAAAGCAGTACATAAGATCTATTTTGAGAACAAAGAATCTAGCCATAGCACGTTTCACATCCCCACAATTTCGATTTTTACACCAACCCCGAGGTATTTGGCCTTTTTAGAGCCTTGGAAATACGTGAAGGAGGACAAAGAAAATTCATTCTTGTCAGAATGGCTGTGATAGACCAGGGAGGAACAAAGAGAACGACTCGGCTCTTGGGAGGTGATCACCGCAGACGAAAAACAGAGAGAAAAAGAAGGAATGAATTCCCTCTTCTTCAACACTCATTCGATATTTTTCTGAATCATTTTATTCTTCCTAGTAGTTTGGGTTGAAATGGCCTCTGAAAATACTCCTCCCCCGGATTTTGTGAACCGCATGGAAAAGATTCCAGCGCCATATCTGAGTGAACAATATGGCTACAGCAAAGACGGTAGGTTGAACATGATCCTCCTTAAGAACAAGAAGTTGACAAATATCGACAGGACTATCTTGCGCAATGATTGCCTGGATGCTGGACCTTAATGTCAGAGCAACAATCAAGAAACGCGAGTTCCAACGCACATATCAGAGAATGTGCCTTTACATCAAGCATATGGAGCGTACGTATATTAAAATCTTGAAAAGCCAGAGAATCAAAACTGATATGTAGTAGGCCTCATGGATCAAGCCAACATTAGCTATGACGCCTACACTGGCACGGAAGACGGTCGAAGAATGAAAATAGCCAGGGAGACCTTGAAGCCCCATTTGAAGGCCAGGTTCATGTCTACAGCACCATATCCAGTCACAGCTCCTATCAGTACCGATGGAGAACTCTGCAGAAGCGTCTCGGATGCACAGACATTTGAATACAAGCTTCACCAGTTAGAAATAATTCGGTATATGGAGAGGGTTGATGGACCAGCATTGACTGATTTTGAGACGAGTACGAGACAGCCCAGACCTGAGACAGGCTAACTGAATGGTCTCAATTGAGCAGATAGTGATCTTCGGTTTGAATACTGGAGGTGATTTGGTCAATGTTTCTCTTCGCAGTGCCTTTTTTTTTGTCATTTACCTACAATGATTGTTCTGCTTTTGAAATTTCCCACAGAGTTCAATTTCGATACGAAACTGAAACGTATATGATTTAAATCGGAGCAAGTAACTTACGAAGAATGATAAGCTTGTTATCCCTTCCAAGAATGGAGCCACATGTTAGGCACTGCAGGGCTGTAGAATGGAGTTCCTTCTTTCACTATAATCAGCAATGTCATAATAATGCACAAATAATAATGATAATTGAAAGAAAAAAAAAATAACTTCGATTTCATTCAAACAAGTCTAACAGTGCTGCCTCCTAAGTGTAAAATCCAGGGGTATCTCAAATGCTGGGTTGGTGTATGAGACGAGCAACCAAAACACCACAGGCCATATCAACAGGTGCTTTCACAAAACACAGGACGGAGTAATAATGAGGGAAATAGCGCCTAAGGGAAAAAAAAAATAGAACAGAAAAGCTAAAACTCCTTGCCTTATGCTCAGGTCGTATCGGCATTGCATGAAAAATGTAGGGGGAAATGAATGAAAGGCTATGATGAGAAATTCCGTACCAAGCAAGGGTCTAGATGCCTAGACTGCTGCTCAGTTCGCGCATTTCTTGCAGGGCAACAGCACGACGTGCAACGACATCTTCGCGGCGGACCACATTGCGCAGTGCTTCACTAGCTTGGATCAAGCCATCGATACTGATCGCGTGGTTGGTCATTTGGTGGTTAATATATGTATAGAGTGCTGCCGGCGTCGAGCAGGTCGTCAACAATTGCTGCTCGTTGAGTTTGAGCAGTGCGAGAGCAACTTGGAACAGGAATGTGCTCCCACCTCCACTACCAGAGGCAAGATTTTCACCAACATTGGCAGTCTTGTCATTGCTCTCCTTAGTACTAGAGGTATTTGGCCCGGAGACATTGACTGCGCTGGTCACATTAAGACATAGAACCACGTCCCATACACGATACAGTGCCTCCGCAGAGAGGCAGTCTGTAAAGACAGAGAGGAACCATTGGAAGGTGAGTGCCTCTAGTTCAATGCCCAGTTCTTCTAGATGGGCGGAGAGTTTGGGAAGTAGCTCTGAGATATACTGGCGTAAGACTACCTGGTCGGCACGGGAGGCGAGCAAGCCATGGTCGTAGTAGTGCTGGGGCAAAATAATTTCGATCATCGAAGTCAGAATCCAAAATGCGTCCTCAGCAGTGGGCATGATCAGCAGCAGAGACCCTGTGATGAGGTTCATGCCCTGACAGTAGCCTACTTCTGGGTTACGGCGCGAGTACGCCAGCAGAACCTCTTTCAGTTTGCTCACACCCGGCCCTTTGCGGAAGAAGACATTATCGGTGAGAGTACGGCGAATATCCATGTCGATTTGTGCGACAACAGAAGTGTCGGGGTCCGATCCGCCAACGCCATGCACAAGGTCATCATAGTAGCCAGGAATTCGCATTGCCGAAGCCCCGCTGCATTCTGACCAAGTCTTAGCGCGAAGGGCAACTGGGATGCCGCCGAGTACGAGCATCCGGAATTCTCGCCACTTCGCTCGCCCAACCTTGCCTTTGTTGCCCAGACCTGCGATGCCTACAACTTCACCGTCGGCGAGCGAGACTTCTGGCGTGTCAACAGCAGCAAGAGATCGATCGGAAGTTGCTGCAGCGGCTGCCGCTTCGCCCTCTTTTCGGCGTTCAGCACGCACTTTGCGAAGGAACTCGTTCCATCTGACGGTTCGATCACGTTGCAGTGTATCGTGGAGATCAGTCAACTGTTCTAATAACAGTTTTACGGGCTCCATCTCTGCAACAGTAAATCTAGACGCTGTGTCTTTAAGCTGATCTGATGACAACCCAGAGAATTCAGGGCTGTCGGCCGTGATAGCCGACGTAGACGCCGATGGTTGTACGCTGGAGCCGACGGCCAACGCTCCGTCTTTGTCATAAGAGACAGATGAGCTATGAGAGCGATTTTCTCCTGCAGTAGTCAAAGAGATAATCGGGCCTGCGGAAGGCGTGTGGGACAATAGCTCCGTGCCACGGGACGGGATTTTCAGATAGTCCTGCCAGCGACGGATGGCAACAGCCCCACCGTCAGGGTCATCTGGCGAGTCAGGTAGAGAACGTGAATCGGAAGCGCCCTGCCGAAGTTTTGTGATTTCGGGATCATCCTCATGATCTGATGCATCGGTTCGAAGCGTACCGAGAGTTTCGGCTATACTCAAACGGTGAATGCTGCTTTTGGTAGTGCTGGCTTCTCTCTGGCGCTTCTTTCTATGTTGATCATAGATGAAACCAAACCGGTCGGTAAGAAACTCACCCGGTTGGGAATTGTTATAAATAGGCGTGAGCGTCGGAGGCTTCGATTCCATGGGCAAAATGGCGTCCATCTCAACGGGTCCCAGATTCGTGGAGCCCCTATCCGCAGGCTCCGACGCTGCGCCCTGAGACACGCTGCCAGTTGCAGTCCGTCGCAAGGCAGGAGAGCTCATTTTGCCCTGAATGCTCGATCCACTGGCAGACCGTCCAGAAGTAGGTATACTGGCATTGCTGTTTATCCTCTTCAGTGCGGCCACCGCCGACATTGAACCCTTAGAATTGGCAGAAAGTGTAGACGAAGTACTTTTGTCTCCGTCCGGTCGTTTATGCTGGGATCTATTTTGGGCAGGCTCAGCATCGCTTGCTTCTTTGCTCGACTGAGGATTGCCAGCGAATAACTTAACAGTCCAAGAGCCAAGAGAACGTGAAGATCTGCGAGAATGAATGCTTGCATCGTCGCCATTTGTAGAGGTGCTAGCAATGCGCTTCGCCGGGCCGTTTCGTGCCAGGCCCTCCGGGGGCTGAAATAGTTGCTCATCAATCGCTTTGCGGCGCATTGCAGGATTGCTGGGCACTCGGAGGCGCTCGGCCTCTTCTTCTCCAAGTTCACCAACATCACTCATAATGCTACTAGCGCGACTAGTTTTCCGGCTTGTATTAGTCGATCCAAAAAGGTATTCCTGCCAGCCCCGAATCGAGCTTTGACGCCTTCGGTTATCAGTGGCTCCGCTGCCTCGGGAATCATTGTCTAATCGCTGCGCCCGAATCGTGGCCTGGGTTTCTGCTGAGTCCCCTTGAGGCCGAGAGCCAACGGTGTCTTCCATAGCTTGAGACATCAATCCATTCAAGCCGGAGTAGGTTTGGCCAGCATGATCGCTGCTATGGGTGCTTTCTGCATCCGAGGCACGATCCCCTTGCGGGTTCTCCAGCTGATATAGACGGCGTTCAATGTCTTGATTAGACACAGACACATCTCGCAGCATTCTCTTCAGCTCCCTCTCCCTTGCATCGGCCCGTTGGCGGAGGGCCGAGATCTCTGCGTCCCGTTGAGCCAGATCGCGAGCGAACTGCCTCACCATCTTCACCGCTCCTGTCCCAGCAACCAGCCTCTCAATGTGCGCATCATCGGCCAAATGCAGGGCGCCTGGGATATCGTGTGTCGGGACGGAATCGGCGAAGAGGGCAGCTCGGCCTGATTTGTGCGACGGCCCAGTCGTCAAATTTGCTAGCGTAGCCTTCCGCCCTCGGCCAGTCCCGCCTCCATTTGATTCCGTTCCATCTTCGGAAAACAATGCATTTGCCAGGCCGCAGGCGATGGTGGAGGATTTGTCTGGCGGTGAAAGCGAGGGGAACGATGTCAAATCGGTTGTTGTGTGGGAGGAACCTGAATGACGTTTTTGCATTTTGGCACGACCAATTTTAGCATTTCGACTTCTGCTCGAGGCGGTTGACGCTTGGGATGAAGAACGCCGCTGGGAGTGGATGTCGGGATCTGCCATGACTCAACAACCGGGCAATGGCGTGGACGGTGGAATCGTTGATTAATGACTTCATGAAGGCTTTCCGTAGAGATTTCGGAGTTAGCTGAATCGGAAAAGGCCTCCGGGTGAATGAGACAAATAATCAACTAGTTTATGTAGCTTTCTGATACTTGGCTCGTCTTGTCGCGCGTTCTTGGCGATCCTTGTTGTAGTGATCCGTGGATGGAATGAAGGGAGATCGACCGTGATTTTCAGGGGCGGGCACGGATTTCAACCCTAGATACCCTATTTTAGGACCAACAAAAGCATAAGAAAACAAAGAGCACAGATTTGGAGTTGTTCTGAAACCCACAAAGACAGCTTTGATACCCTATAGCACATGACGTGACCGGCTAACTGTCATGTGACTCGATTGCTTAAACTTATTTTCACGTGACTATGCTGTCTGTTAGTCCCTATGCCCGGCCGTAGTCTAGGAGCCTCGGCTCTCCGCATTACCGACCAAGTGGGGAAAGCTGATGAGCTGTTACAACTACAAAGCTCCCGCAATTGAAGCTGTTATTGTAGCGCATTCAATTCCTTTTTTTTTTCTTGGCAGCCTTTTCAGATCCACTCGAAGCTAAACGGTATGTCTGCCATAGCAAAGCAACGTCTCCAGGCCCTGAGCAAGCAGCTGGTTGAGGGGATTCCCTTCGAGGGCACGTTCGAGGATATCCCCAAGATCCGTCATGTTGCTCCTGATTCAGCAGGACCGTAAGTAGTGCTGAATCTTATAGTTTTCTTCTGGTTCAGCTGGCTTCTATCGTTGCATATATTACAAATATGCATGGCTAATACATAAATATACAGTCGGGTCAAGGACAAGGTAGTAATTGTGACCGGTAATTACTATTCTCGAACACTATTTCAAACCCACTATACTGACAAAATCCTAGGGGCTAATTCTCCCAATGGCATCGGCCGAGCTAGCGCCCACCAATTCGCCAATAATGGTGCCAAAGCAGTTTACATCTGCGACTTCAGTGACACCTATCTGGCAACACACAAGCGGGAGCTGGAGTCCCTCTACCCAAATGTAGACATACACGTGCGGTCATTTGATGCGGCCGATGAAAAAGCCCTGAGTGGAGTCATCGACGAAGCAGTCAGCAAATATGGCCGACTAGACGTCTTCTTCGCGAACGCGGGCGTGGTAGGGCAACCGAAGCTATTCACTGAGATTGATGGCGAGGGATTCCTAAACACGATGCGAGTAAATGCTCTCGGGTACGTACATCCTTTCCTGAAATATGACAAACATAATTCCCCGAGAGCCGAACCAATCTAATTGAACCGGGACAAACAGTGTCTTCCTAGCAGCCAAACACGCGGCCCCAGCAATGAAAATAACCTCAGCCTCAAAGCCATACCCAAGTGGCTCAATCATTGGCACAGCGTCTGTAGCAGGCCTCCGCTCCAACGCCGGTTCAACCGACTACTCCGCCTCAAAAGCAGCAGTGATATCGATCGCGCAGACGGTCTCGTACCAGCTCGCTGGGACAGGTATCCGTGTGAACGCGATCTGTCCTGGTTTGATTGAGACTGGGATGACGCAGACGGTGTTTGATCGGGCGCGGGAGCGTGGGACGGAGCGCAAGATCGGGCAGTTGAACCCATTGCAGCGGGGGGCCGTTGCTGATGAGGTTGCGCGTGTTGCTCTGTTCCTTGGTAGCGATGAGAGTAGCTATGTTAATGGACAGGCTTGGGCAGTTTGTGGTGGGTTGAGTGCTGGCCATCCTGTTGTGCCGGGGAAGTTGGCTTGAAATGAGTCCTGGGGGTGTATTGGGTTGCAATTAGGTGATGTACACAGTTAATTATTAGCATATAAATGCTACAAGGATCACTTAAATAATTCCAAAGGCCTTTCGAGGTCGCTCTCGCTACAATGGATGTAACTTGTGGCAATTTTAAAAAAAGTTCAAATTCACAGGATCCCTTTTAAACAACAGGGAACTATATATACCCTGGTAGATCGGAACAATCCAGATCAAGGACTGTAGATAGATAGGAAATTTCATCCGCAGACAGCGCGGATGGCGGTGCAAAGTGGAGGGCTCTCTCTTCGAGATGGGCGCAAAAACAAATCAAGCCGTTCCATCCCAGACGGCACGACATATAGTAGATAAACAAATTCCTGGGGAGAGAATAGGGCAAGAAAAAGAAAAAGAAAAAAGACCCGGGAAGGCAAAAATGCCCATAAATTATTGGACAAGAAGACACATAGATGGTCGGTGGATATAATGAAGATCAAAAATAATCAACACGACGGAAACCAGCAGGAGAAATGAGAAATACGCCAGACAACCAGAGCGTATGTGTGTATTTGAGATACTGCACAGATGAAGTGAAAATGAGAAAAATGCCTCGCCAGACAGAAGGAGAACAAGGAATGGACAGAGAAGAGAAAAAAAAAACAGAAACAAGATCGTCTCAGTCAAGCGTTGCGTCATCTAACCTGAAAAGCTGATGGAAAATCTAGGAGAGCACTCGTGCGGTAGAGGGCCGCATGAGATCCTCGCTAGTCTGCTTGGACAGAGTGCCACGTTCAGTCTGCTGGTCGTCAACGTTCTCAGTCTCGTGAGCGCGCTCATCATCATCCTCAACGATCCGGGTCGGGATATCGCCGGGACCATACTGCTGACTTGAGCGTTCGGGGAAAGTAGAGCTGCTGACCATGGACATGGATGTGCTGGAGCGGTTGTGGACCAGATCTGGAGTCGGGGGGATACTGGAGCGGCGGTTGTCCGGGTGGAGAGAGTTGTTGTCAGCGTCACTGATCTCGCTAGGAGCGCGGGTGGAGCGGCCGTCGTTGTCGTAGTCGGAACCAAGACGGTCGTTTTTGTGGAGCTTGGAAGAGATCTGGGATTCTTCCTCCTCCTCGGCGTCCTGAGCCAAGTGCAGGCCTTCGACGGCGGCGGCGCATTGGTCGCTGATGCTGCGGATGATATCTGCGATGGCATCGGTCTTGTCGCGCAGGTAGCGGTCTGCGACATCTGTAATGCTGAGACGAGCAAGGGTCTTATGATCCTTTCCGAGGTTCAGCAAATGCTGCTCTAGCTCGGGCTTCATGTCATTTACCAGGGTATTGTGACCATTGACCTCCTTAGCCGTCTTGACGGACTCCTTTGACTCAGCGACCGACACATCCTCCCTGAGCTCCTCTGGAGCGTCCTCGTAGCCCTGCTCGACCATTTCAGTAATCTCAGACCTGCTACCAATGGAGCGGACGATGTGCTCCATGTGGTGGCTCTGGCCATTGATAAGGCTGCGCAAGTGCATGACAACACGCTGGGCATCTTCACGTTCGCGGGCAAGGGTCGCGTTAGTGTGCGAGAGAGCAGAGATCTCTTTCTGGTTGCGCTTGCGCTCACGCTCAAGCTCTTCGGCAATCTCCTGCTGAAGGACGAGTGCCTCGAGAGCATCGTCGCGCTGCTTCTCAGTGCCGGACAGGCGCAGAGTAAGACGAACCACATCATCCTTCTGTTGGTCAATAAGAGCAGTGAGGCGACGGCTCTCGCGCTTGTGGTTTTCGATCTTGGATTTGAGTTCCGAGGTCTCCTTGGTGAGCTGCTCAGCAAAGGCCTGGAACTTGAGGAACTGCTGCTTCCAAGTCTCGAGCTCCTCGACCAAGAAGTTGTTGCGCTTGGTGACCTTGCTGAGCTCGGTATCCATTCTGCCCTTGAGGTTGATGAAGTCTTGCCAGGCTTCCATAGCATCCCGAGAATACTGGTTACGCTCGCGGACAATCTCGTTGAGGTGACGCATGGAAACTTTAGTCATGAGAGGCTTCTTGACAGAGCCTCCGAAGATAGCCTTCATACCGGTGTTGCGGCCCTAATAGATAGAATGTCAATTTCGATTGTGGTTAGTGACAATTGAAAGGCGAAAAAAACGTACCAGCTTCTCACACACATGGTCCATGACGCCCATAACAGCATCCTGGTTCCACCATTGGGGTTCTTCAATACTTTCGACCTCTCCTCTCATGACGATGATCTGGCCAGCCGGGATGAGCTTGCCGCCAGCGTAGGCAGTACGCAGGTGCGGTGGAACACCGGAAGGCGAGACATCACCATTCAGGGATTGGGTCATACGGTTGATGAACTTGGTGCGCTGGCCCTGGTTCAACACATTAGGCGGACTGGATGTGAGGACAAAGTTGCGATCAAGGTCGACCACGAGGGCATCAGATGGGGCATTGAACAGAGTTCGGCACTCTGCGGTAATTCCCAAGATGTAGGGACCGGGCTCCTGGACCAGCTCCTTGACGTGGCGGGCGTGAACCACGGGCACGTACAGACCACTCCACTCATAGACGCGAACACAGTAGCGAATGGTTTCCGCGGCGACAGTCAGCATCGCCGGGTAGTGGCTGACGAAAATGATGCGGCGGGTAGGCGAGACAGCAGCCTCGATCACGCCGACAATGTTGGGGATAGACAAACAAGTGAACAATGGCCACATGGCAAAGTTTTGGAAGCCGGTAGGCGATGAGGGGAACTGATAGCACAGGGCATAATCCTTCATATCAATACGGACCAAGTCGTTGAGACGTGGGGCCGGGAAGCTGAGGATGCGAGAGACCTCCTCGGCGTGGAACAGGTTGGTGGCCTTGTTCCAGTGGATCCACATGCCACGGAGGTAGTCACCTAGCAGATCGTAGAGGGGATACCGGGAGAGGAAGCTTAAGCAGTAAGGAATCCAGTAGGTCTCATCGGGGTTATCGTAGAAGTCTGGCTCTGTCTTCTTGCGTAGCTCGCGGATGGTCTCCGCGCGCTTCTCATCCGCACGGGACCAAACGCGCAGCGCGATACCGTACAGAGTGTGAGAAGAGTCCTGTTGCAACACGAACGCGTGGTGTGCACAGTGAGGCTGGCTCTTAC